TGGAAAAATCGCGGACCGCTAGTCTGTAGTGTATCGAAAGGGCTACAATCCCAGCTGCTAACATTGTCCACAAGCGACCGCTGCGGACGGTTAATTTACGATGGTAGTTTCGTACTGCAGTTAGACTTTGGAAAACCGAGATATGCAGGCGTTTCCTGGATTTTTCAGAGGAGGTACGGCGATCCCCAGTGCGCCCTTAATAAAGGAGTATAGGACAAAACAAGGACATGCTGGGATTGCTTGGTTTTGAACACGCAATGATGGAGAGCTGGAAAGCGCGAGACACGATGCACGATGCCAGGATACTATTTTTCAAGACACAGAATGCTAAGGATCTCAGCTCAAGGATGAGGCCCTCGTCGGTTCGGCGTAATTAACTCGGCGGCTCGGCGGTCAGGCCGCTTGCACCCGACCCCCGAAGGGAACCGGTTTTAAGGGCTGAACCAAACTAGAACCGAAATATTCTCTCTTTATAAACCTGCCGCCCGCCAACAACGACAAGACGACAAGCCCTCGACACTCGCGGCGCCAACGCCACACGTTTGGGACACTGTGCTCTTCGAAGAGGTACGTATGCGGTGAATGAGAACGAATGGATGGATACGTGGACAGGATCCTGTGTTCCAGTCACAAGCGCAATCACATTTTGTTATGCGGTTGAACGCTGTACCTTCCTTCACCAAAACTGGATCACTGTTGTCTGGATTTGCCTCTCGACAGAGTCATCGCGTGGCGCCGCTCATGATCTCGTTCAGCAACATGGAATGCACGTGGTTATTTCAGCTCGACATTGACTGTTGCACCACATCCTTCAGCGAAAGGTTCTCCTGTAGGTTTTGATCTCTTTGCTTGCTTTTGCGACTTCTCGCCATGCAGGGCCAACACTGCTGTACAGACGTGTATGCCCCTTACGGAGCGCAATTCCTGTCGTGTTTTCATTCTAATCCAACCCTCTACATCCAAACCACCTTCCTTGCCGCTGTTCATCATGGATATCGCGCGCCTCTCTCCACGTACACTTGCCTCAAAATGATCTCAAGAGGGTTTGGAGACAAACGACATGACGATCTACTATGCTCGTGGCTCTCCCGAGGATGTCATCACTCCCCGCGACGCCAAGGAAGCTCTCGATGTGGCCTTTGAAAAGCTGGGCAAAAGGTGTGGGATCAGAGAAGAACGCTTTGCAGTCCACAGCAGCAGTGATGGATACGTGCAGGATTGCTCTTGACATTGTGGTGGTGAGGAGACAGCAAGACGGCCAGATCTTCTTTGGGTTGCTGGGACTACAGTAGTGCAAAGCTCACACCGAAACATTGCAATGTTCACCGTAGCAGTGTCCAATGTCCACCTGCCGCTGTGACTCCACACACACGGCGGCGGCTCCTCACTGAAGTTTAATGGCGTGAATTACCACGCTTGTTCATCTACATGTTCGCTTTCTTGGCATCTTGCCCTTCGTGTTTTGCTTTCAGAAGCACCCTAAGGAAGTGCACGCCAGTCAACCTCGGAATGGATCGACCGACAGATTTGTTACCAACGAGCATA